ACAAGTAAGGATCTTGATAACCTTGAGGATACATACCATGAACCGGACCAGGGTAAGGAAATGGCTCAGGATATGACTGGTAATAAGAAGGTCCAGGACTAGGAGGACCATGGAGATGGATTGGTCTGAGAAATGGCTGATTCTTCTGATCTGATTGTTTAGGTTTATCACCACCACCACGAAGGAGATGGTCTTTGATTGAATCTAACCTTCTTAATAGCTCAGCTCGTTCTTGCTCTGTATACTCGATTGGGTTACGAGAAGGAGAATCTGATCCGTAATTTGGCTCTCCGAGCTCGCTTTTTCCAGATCTTTGAGACCCATGTCGCGAATTTGAGTGTTTCTCAGTTTCTTCTTCACTTCTCGAAGAACTTGCATCTGATCTACGGTTTGCTTCGTATGCATCACCTCGTGACCTCATTAAGCTTCTCCGATTACCCCCCCCCCCAACAACACTGCTTCAAGGGTTTTGCTTTTTCAACTGCACAATTCAGAAATTCATCGACTTTAGATCAAAATCGAACCCAGAAACTAAAATCTCCGATCGAATTGAAATATTAAGAACTTCAACGAATTTTAAAAAAAAAATCTCGTTTTTTTTTTTTTAACTCCGAAGACGATTTTGAGCTCATGGGCAAAATCAAACTAGAGAAGATGATCGAATTCCTCAAAACTTTACATGATTTCTCGAAACAGCTAAAAGAGTAATGAAATCGAACAAACCTTGAAGAATGGAGTCGCCAAGTTAGGTGAGAAGACGATTCACCGGTTGAATTAAATGACACGAGAAACAATTAAACCAAGCCTTACTAATCTCTTTAACGCAACTAAGTTTGGTTTTTGAAAGAAATTTTAGAAGAAATTTTAAAGTCAAGAGACTGTTCTTCTAGGGATTCATAAATGTCTGCTTACTTACTAACTACCAAACTTGACTGGAAGGTTTTGAAGAAAGCAACAAAAAGAGGAAAAAATAGTTACTTTTCTCGCATTTTCCTTTGCTTTCCCGGGAAAGATAAACAGAAAATTGATGAGAGGATTTTGAAAACGAT